TATGCTTATATAGTATATGCTTATGTAGTATACAACACAGTGGGGTTGTGATCCTGAATGAGTTCTGTAGATGCCACTGGAATAGAGATAAATCTAATGGAGGGATGATGATATACAAAACCTTAGAATGCATCTAGTTGGGGTTGGTGCATGTAGTTGGGGGTTGGTCCTGCTTTTGCGGGGGGTGGTCTGTACTCAATGACCTCCTGAGGTCTCTTTCAGCCCTATGATTGTATGATCTACATAGCAGGGCTTAACTCGAGATAAGCTAAGCAAATTGAGCCACGTCAATTGTGTAGCTTATTTTGAAATAGCTTATTTCAAAATTGGGAGCATCTACACAGCACTTATTTTGAAACAGAGCACTCTTCCTCTGACTTCCCTTACTCCTTGTTCAATGAGAGTTACAGGAGTCAGAGTAAGAAGTCCTGCAGCTTGACAGTATTTTGACGTTATTTCAAAATAACTGCCTGCTGTGTAGACGCGGAGAAATGTTGCTGTGTAGATGAACCCTTACTGAGGTAAGACAAGGGCCAATTCCCAATGAAGTCAACAGAAAGCTTTCCATAGTCTTTCAGTGAGAGCTGTATCTAATCTTTAAGGGACTTATCTTAATTAACTACTCGTGAATTAGCTTTTCTGAAAACCAGGCCCTTTTAGGGTATCCCAAAAACCAGAAGCATCCAAAATCACCACTCATCTGTGAAAATATAGGCACCAGTTTTTTGAGTGCATTTGATTCTGCTAACTTTTTTTCTCCAGGCTTTTCCATACAATCATCTCAGCTATTGGCAAGCAACAATTCCACCTCACAAGTGGATTACTTATAAAATATGTGAGCACTTTTATTCTGAATTAAAGTGGTCTTAATATGGCTTAGTTTAATTCACTTATAAACTGAATTAAGGCCACTTTAATTCTAATTATGACTATCCACAGAGAGGTTTAAAGTAGCCTTAATTCAGTGTGAAAGTGAGTTAAACTCAGCTGAATGAAGGCCACTTTAATACTGAAGAAAAGTGTCCACGCAGATATTTAGTGTGGATTAATTAATCCATTTAAAATTCACACTTTTTGTTAGTTCAGATTTATTTCTCTGTATGTCCCTGTGTAAAAAGGGCAAAGCTAGAAGCCTGGAGTCATCTATCACTTATTCTCACACACTCCCTGTATCGGTACTATGAATGCACACACACGTACAATGGTAATTAATTAACACAGAACAAAGCTTCAATGGCATTTTCTCAAAACATGCTGAACTGAGGAGGAAGCATAAAGGATATGTTGACTGGAAAAAGACTTCCCACTCCCCATCAAGGGATAAAAGCTGCTAAAATTACTCTACCTAGTGATTACAAAGATTTGTCTTTCATGCCTTAATAGTTTTAATCAATTTGTGTTACTAGAAGACAAATTAATTGAATGTTTGGTTTACTCCATGGCATCTGAGGGTGGCTTTAGGCTAAATCTGCCCATAAAACAAACCTTTCTCTTCACAAAGATACAAGCCAACTTTGGGGGTGGAGTGACCTCCGCACCATAGAATGTGCCTGGGCCAAATGCTCCAGTCCGTTACACCAGCTCATCTCTGCTCAAAGCAGTGGAGTGAATTATGTAGATGTAAACCCAGCCGACGGAGGATGCATGCCTGTGTGTCAATCTGCAGGCCAATAAATAAGTAGCAGAACTTCATTAGCCCCTGGTTTGTACCCTGCATGGTCATTTGCCCCAGTGCAAAATGGACGTAAAATGTAAAAAGTTGGAATTTTCCACTCAACGTTTATGTGGACACAGGAGTGGAATCGCTTTAACTGTGCCATGAGAGGGAAAGTACAGCTCCCTTAGGGTATGTCTGCATGACAATCAGACATGTGACTGTAGCGCATAGGCAGACCCGAGCCAGCTTTAATCTAGGTACCTGGGAGAACAATGCTTCGGCAGCACAGGTGAATGTTGGTCAGAATCCAGGCCTGGCTTGTAAAGTCCATGCTGCCAGGCAGGAAGGGCCCTTCCTAGCCGTTCTGGTGCCCTACACAGGGCCCGCTCCATGGGGGGCTGGCTGTGCTCAAGAGCCATGAGGGAAAGGAGCTGGTGCAGGGGAGGAGGAGCAGGGCTACCGGGCAGGGATAGAGCAGGTGTCGTGCTGCCCCCACACTCAGTAGCCATGGCTGGAAACAGAGCAACTCAGACCCACCCGCTCCCCCGGCCACGTGGCTCGGGGGCAGGGGTGGAACCACAGTGAGAGTTAGGGGAAGGGGAGTGGAGAGGGGTGGGGCAGGGTCACTCTGCTTCCTGCTGCCACCAGTGAATACGGGGGCAGGCCTGACCCCTGCTGCTGGCAGCAGCCCCCTGCTAATCCCCACCTCTCTCTCCCCAGAAGGGAGCTGAGGAGCAGTCCAAGCTGCCCCAACCCCGACCCTCCTTGAGCACCCTCCAACACGCCCTCCGAAAGCCCTCAACCCCAGCCCAGCATCCGCATCCCTTCCTGCACCCCGGCCCAGAACTCACACCCTAACCCCCAGACCAGAGCCCTTCCTCACACCTGGAGCCCCCCTCCTCTACCACAACCCCCTCATGCCCTGCCACCCCAGAGATCTTTCACACCAACTCGCTAGCCCAACCTTGAATCGCTCAACTCCAACCCCACCCTAGAGCCCACACTGCCCCCAGCCAGTGCTCTCATACTTCTGCACCCAAGTCTCTGCCCCAGCCTTGAACTCCCGCCCGCACTCAGAACCCTTTGGTCCCACTCCTGCCTCATGAATGTTGTTCTGTGCGCCAATATGCAGGTGCTATGTCACACATCACCTCTGTGTTGCACAGCCCCTCCACATAAGAAAAATAATTCCACTCCAGGGTGGGAAAAATTAGAGGGAACACTGGCAGGGACAGCCTAGTCAATAGGCAGACCGGGGGTCAAATTTGGACCTCCACATGCTTATGAATGGATCAGAAAATCTTATTTAACGTATCGTTATTTTTGTATTATTTTCTCTGAAGTCAGGACCTGGACTAATGCTATGGCCAAGAAATTTGAACTCTGAAAATAAATAACTGATTACCCCTATGTGGCTTCCTATGTAACAAGCTAGCTACCTCAAAGCCGGCATGTCTGCATTCACACCTCCTGCTTGCAACATGGGCACAATTGTATCAGTATAAAGGTGCACATGCTACAAAATACAGCTTATCCCCATATGAAAAGGAGAAGGCGCTGCAGGTCTAAGGACTCTTTGCGGTGGTATAACTGAATCCACACTTGGGGTTGGACCAGTATAGTTATTTCAGAGAAAAACTAAACCCCTGCATCCGTAACCTGTTATTTATACAGGCACAAAAACTGGGTGAAACCTGCATTATAACAGAAGTAGAACTTAACTTGAGTTGAAACTAAGGGTGTGTCTAGACTACAGGGTTTTGTCAACAAAAGTGGACTTTTGTCGACAAAACTATACCTGCATCTACACTGCCCCTGAGTTTTGTCGACATAAGGTCTGTCAGCCTTTTGACGACAGAGTTCTGTTGACAGAAGGTATTATTGCATCTACACTGACCTTTGCGTCTGCACTGTCATGTCGACAAAGCGGCTTGCTTTGTTGACAGAACTGGATGTAGTCTAGACGCTCTTTGGCGACAGAAGCTTTGTCGACAGTATCTGCTGACAAAACTTCTGTCGACAAAAGCCTGTTGTCTAGACGTGCCCTAAGACTGGTTGCGGTGGAAAGGGGTTTTACGGTGAATCTAAATGCACTGGGGTCAGAGCTGTGCAAAGTATCTTTAGTGTAAATGAGAACTAGCCCCGTAATCACTTTATTAACTACCGTGGGTTTTTTACACCACTCTGGCAGTACCAACGGGCCTTCAATGGAAATAAACATAATTACATAAGGCCCCAAATGTAAATGAGAATCAGAGCTTTTCTCGATGACTGGGACAGCTGTAAAAATGGTCTAAGCACACACGTCACACCATCAAAGGCTCATCCACCTGCACATCTATGTGCATGATCTATACCATCATGGTATTCACACCCCTCAGCAATTGTTGGGAGTGGGGGGCCATATCCACACTGACCAAACTGGCCTAGTTAGCACTGATCCTCCACTAGATAAGGTAACACTCTGTGCTCACCGGGGCAGAGGAGCCATCCGGCATGGCCATTCAAAATGGCGTCTTCAAAATGGCAGCAGCCAGAAGGAGCTTAATGTGGCCAAAAAAGCCTTTAAACACATTTCTTAAAGTGGCAGTCTTTTTTGTTTTGTTTTGTTTTGCTCAACAACTTCATGCTGTATCCACTGCTATTTTGTCCGGAATGAGTTGGCCACTCCTTTGCTAGAATATTCATGCTGCCTCTGTAATTTCCACTCCAGTGCATCTGACAAAGTGGGTCTTTGCCCACAAAAGCTTATGACTGAATCAACCAATTAGTCTTTCAGGTGCCACAGGACTCCGCGTTGTTTTTGTAGAAACAGACTAATACAGCGACGCCTCTGAGACTTGTTATACTGCTGTAATTCCAGTGAGCTTAGCAATATCCTGATAATTGACAGTAGCGTAACTGAGATCAGAATCTGCTCACAAGGTACAAACCGGAGAGAATTCTTCCATTCAGTATCCCCTGAACATCTAAGGTGCTGAACTTGAATCCCTAGGGGAAGACTCTGTCCCCTTTGGCATCTATTTCAGATCTGTGCTTGCTAGTAATGTGACATACAATACTGACTTTCTATAGGCCCACTGGATGGTCACTTGGGACTGGTTTCCCTGTTCATATTTAGCAGCAGAATTCTGATTTCTTCCCCCACACACCCACAACCCATAATAATTAGACCAGATATGACACTGAGAGCTTCCTTTGGAAAAAAAATATGTCCTTTGGAAACTAATTTTTGAATTCCCAGCTCAAAGGCACTAAGCTTCTCTATTCACTTTGTAAATTAACACACACACACAGAGGGAGAGAGAGAGCGAGTGAAAAGTAAAATAAGAACTGTTCTTACTTTCTTGGAGCAAAATTCAGAGCACTTCTCCACCGTCAAATTGGACTGTATCAAAGAGGCTGGGAAGGTGACTGTTAAATTTTCTGGAGCTCTAAAACATCCTCGATAGATAACATTCCTCCCTGCAGGGATATGAAATAGGTTTCTCTTGAGAAAACAGCATCCATATTAGCCTGCCTCTATCACAAAGGACAATAATCATTCTGAATCTTTAAAAAAATTCTCCATATATATGTATTTTCAGAGTACTTTAGAAATGAGAGACATAGAGAGAAAGAGCCTGGGAAAATGTGCTGCAAATCCTGCTATACAGAAAGGAACCCATCCCTTTAGCCCTGTAGTAACTATTGAAAGTAGCGCTGCAGAGAAAAATTTAAATTAAATTCTGCTGGTGGAGGGCTCTGCCATTGTTTGTGAGCCCGTTTTCTTTTGAAGATATTTTCCCCCTGAAAGGCTTAAAAGCCCGGATAAAATCTACAAAGCTTCCCATGATTTGCACCAGAAAAGAAATGGAATTTAAATGAGTTTCAGAAGCCACCTTTAGGGACCCACCTTTCTGCCCATCTGTTCAGTTACTAAGACATCCCCCTTCCCATTCACTTGCATTCTTTTCAGATCAGAGGAATTCATTGCAGCCTTCAAAATCTAAACTTAGCTTTTACAGGTCATTCAGGGAAAATGCATGCTCTTTGCTCAAATCCTGAAGGCCAGATTCTGATCTCTATTGCACCAATATAAATGCTTAGGAATTACAAAGATCAGTAGAGTTTCTCTGTATTAACAGCTGAATAATGAGATCAGAATTTGGCCTTGAGTCTGACTAGCACTTACAATGCAGTGTTCCTTACTTACCGTACAAGGACAAATGTCCCCTTGAAAAGTTGTCCTGGAAATACATTAGCCTAGTTATACAAGTGGCTTTTCTACTCTTGGAGAAGGTCAGTGATGATGATACAGAAAGTAGTATCTGACTAACCCAGTCATCTAACGATAATACCTACATTTTTACGTCACTTTTAATTCCTAGGTCTCAACTCACTTTAAAAAGGAGGCAAATATCATTCTTCCCATTCTATTGATGGGGAAACTGAGACACAGAGAAGTGAAGCAACTTGCACAAGCTCATTCAGCAAGACCTGGGAATTTAACTCTGAGTTCTAGTCCAGTGCTCTGTTGACTACACAATAATGTGTCTAGCAAAACAGCCAGTAAATGGACAAATCTAGTTAATGTCAACTTGAACTAATAGTTATAGTTTGGGGCTCTGAAGAGATTTATATGCATATGACTGTATGACAACATGACCTAAATTCCAATTTCAGAGTAAATCTATAGATTTCCATGGAGTTGCTCCACAGTGGTAAAGGAGTATATTTTAATAGAATCTGGACCCTAGAATTTTACATTTCTTAGTGGGAGAAAGATATCAGATATTCAGTCCCTGAGATATACTTTTTAAGATGATGTGTTTGTTTCCCATTAGAGATTTGAAGAGATCACTTTGCCTTTATCATCTAACTCACCCCAAATCTTTTGCACATAAAATCATAGATGTTTAAGACCAAAGAGACCATTCAACCATCTAACCCATATAGCACAGATCAAAGAATTTCATACAGTTACCCTATACTGAGTCCAATAACTTGTGCCTGACTAAAGTATCTCTTCCATAAGCATTCAGTCTTGATTTGAATATTTAAGATATGGAGAATCTACCACTTCAGAGGATAATCACTCTGTTTAAAATGTGTTCTTTATTTCCAATGTGAATTTGTCTGTCTTTATCTTCCAGCCTTTAGTTCTTAATGTGCCTTTCTCCATTAGATTAAAGAGCCCTTTAGTATCCAGTATTATCTCACCATGAGCTTATTTCTCCATGGTAGCTTTACATCATAATCAAATCACCTCTTGATCTTTTTGATAAGCTAAACAGTTGCGTTGCATCTCAACAGCATACAGTGATCATCTTAAAAAGCATCATGTATCAACAGGTATCACACTGAGCCAGCTCCTGTTTTAAATACTAGAAAACAGTAAATTGTGGGCAGGAGACTGCTCCAGCCCTGCAGGACCTACCGTGGATTGGGGGAGGGGTGTGCTCCAGCCTGTTGTAGCCCCCATCTATAGTGGGTGGGTGAGGCGCTCTAGCTCCTGCTCCTCCCCCATTTGCCCCTGTTTAATTGGTTAATAAACTAAACTGGATTTTACATCCCTACGCCAGAAACCATTCTGAAATATCTGGTACCACATACTGATCTTGCAATGGAAACCACTACGTTCAAAGAACTGAATGATTTTTTTTTAATGATGATATTTTCAAAGTGAGCTACAGGATACGGAGGCCCAACTACTGTTAGAAATGAATAGGAAAACTGGGTGTCCAAATGGCACAGGACAGATGAAAAATTCCCGGGCAAACCATATCTTTTTGTTTATATTTTTTTCAGGAAGAAACAAAATGAGTTCAGTATGCCACAAAAAAAAATAAAAAAAAATAAAAAAAAAAAAAAAAAACCCTAAGTCTAAAGATGTAATCAACAGGAAGAAGGAACCAAGGAATAAAACAGAAAGTGAGTTGAAGAAATATACTTTGCACTTAAGAGTAGAAGGTGGGAAGCAGGATATACATGGACATGATTAGATTACAGGAGGCAGCGAGTTTTGATCCATTCTATTCTATGTAGACTTTTTATAGCACTGTAGTATATGAGCCCTCTCCATTAGAGCATTAAGTGACATGAGTAAGATCTGTTGTGTGGTTCATTTTCTCTCTTATCCTTGCCCCTAGAGAACTGCACAGGTAGTGCAGCTTTGGAGTTTATTTTTAAATGTCCACACTTCTCTGTGTTTATACATGGGAGGGTGGGTTGAAGAAATACACTTTGCACTTAGGGTAGAAGATGGAGAGATTAGGGATGGTTCCCCACTTCTGTGGGTGTTCACCCTCAGTCTGGAATCAGGCCCTGATAAAGTCTGGCTTCTGCAGAGATGTGTGTACCCTTATGGTGGATTTTGACCTCACTCACATATGTGCAGGGTCTAATATCCCACTTGTGACATTACTGATAATCTATACCACCAAGACAAGAGGTTCTGGTCCAGCATTTATGCATGTGAGTGGCTTTATTTCTCACCACTCCCATGGTACTTGTCTTGTCTTTAACTCCGTGTTTTCATTGCTGCGTTTAAAGACAAATCAAGTCAATATCCTATGCTAGATCTCTCTTTGTCAACACTTAGGCCAGGTCCACACTAACAGGAAAGGTCGAATCAAGATACACAACTATGTCAGTTATATAGCTGAAGGCCACGTGCCTTGATTCAAGTTTCCCCACAATCCCCACAGCAGGAGGCCAATGAGAACAAACATTCTTACCTTTCTTTTCACGAGAGCAGGAGTACAGGATGCCGAGGGGAAGGAGGGGCACCCTCTGAGTTTGATTTAGCAGGTCTTAAGTAGACTTGCTAATTCAAACTCCAAAAGATTGATTGTGGCAGCGTCAATCTTCCGAATCTTCTGCTGAGTGAAGACATGGCTGTACCAGTTTAAAGTGAAGTCGTGGCTGCACTTTATACTGAAATTATAGCCATGGCACATTTGCTGGGAGATAGTTCTCCCAGAACTCTATGTAAACCATCTCCATGCTGGGGACAGCTAACAGCACTGGAAGCTGAGCTACAGCTCTCAGTGCTGTAGCCTGGATCACAATGCTGTATCCTGCTGTACTCGAGCATGGGGTGTGTGTGTGTTTTTCAGAAAATTACAGTGCTGTAAAGTGCCAGTGTGGACTTGGCCTAATGTTTCCTAGGAGCAATTTATTTTATTCCAGTAAAGAAGCTGCATCTGCATGCCATGGTTCTTGATATGCTGTGTGTGGTTGGCTATTTAAAGTCATAGAACACTAGGACTGGAAGGGACCTTAAAGGGTCATCAAATTCAGTCCCCTGCCGTCACGGCAGGACCAAACATGGTCCAGATCCCTGACATATGTTTATCTAACTTGCTCTTGAATATCTACAACGATGGAGATTCTACAACCTCCCCAGCCAATTTATTCCAGTGTTTAACCACCCTGACAGGAAGCTTTTCCTGATGTCCAACCTAAATCTTTCTTGCTGCAATTGAAGTCCCTTGCTTCTTGTCCTATTCTCAGATATTAAGGAGAATAATTTTTCTCCCTTCTCCTTGTAGCACTCTTTTAGATATTTGAAAGCTGCTAGGATACCAGTGCTCAGTAGGGCTTTGTCTACACTGCAGCGGTTTTGTGCAAGAAGCTTTTTGCAGAAGAGATCTTGTGCAAGAAGTTTTTGCGGAAAAGCGTGTCCACACCTCAAAAGCGCGTCCACACTGCATGGCCGCTCTTGCACAAGAAAGCTCTGATGGCCATTCGCTGAATGGCCATCAGAGCACCTGTGTTTTTTCTTTTTGTGTGAGAAACCTCTGCGGAGCATCCACACATTCTTTTTTGCGCAAGAGCTGTAGCACAAAAAGGAGTTATTCCTTGAAGGGAGATTAATAAGTCTACTGGCAAAAGCCTTCTGCCCTATCGATTTTCTGTATTTTTTATTGCGCAAAAAAGCGTTTGAGGTGTGGACGCTCCATCAGTTTTTGCACAAAAACCTTGTAGTGTAGACATAGCCTAGTTGACGATCTTATTGTGTGATCTCAATGCACCAACACTATTACATTGTCCCATTGCAGTATAGAATGGTAGCACTGAGACTCGCACGTGCATAAATGTGGGGTGGGAGGAAAGGGTAGGTGGAAAGAGGAAAATAAAAAGAACATCAGGAAAAGAAAAACAGAGACGCCAGAGAACGACAGCAGTAAAGACAGCAAGTTCTGGGATTCCATACTGAATCCTCCCACATGCCTCCAAAAATCCAATTAAAAGATGAACTGTTTCTCCTCCTACCACAGTAGCATAACTATTTCTTAGGAGCAGTGCCTTTTTTGTGATGGTCCCGGCACCTCCAGTCAGAGTTTACCTGGTAAGAACAAAGCATACCGTCACCTCTGTATGCAAGTGTCCAACAGTTGGCTGGGCCGCATGTCTTAAAGGGGCTGCATCTCTTAAAAGGGCAATGCCAGCTCCACCCCGGCTTTTTTTGTTGTTGTTTTTTTTGGCTCAACAACTTTTCCCCTAGAGTACCGACACCTTTTTTTTTTTTTTTTAATAAACAAAAAAAGCACTGCTTAGGAGCATTAGAAAAGCACCTGGAGGCTTCATTGTGCTCAGCACTGCACAAAACAGATGATTCCCCAGAGCTTTCAATCAGCTTCCCTCTATGCAAACATGCCAAGGTGCATCACACCAGCTGATTATAAAGAACACCCCTCGTACATGCCTATGTTACAAAGCTAGAACTGGGCCCTTTTAAATTGTTGGGCCTTGGGATAATTGCTCCTTTTGCCTCCTCTCCTCCCCCCCCTCCTCCGCACTGCACAAAACAGATGATTCCCCAGAGCTTTCAATCAGCTTCCCTCTATGCAAACATGCCAAGGTGCATCACACCAGCTGATTATAAAGAACACCCCTCGTACATGCCTATGTTACAAAGCTAGAACTGGGCCCTTTTAAATTGTTGGGCCTTGGGATAATTGCTCCTTTTGCCTCCTCTCCTCCCCCCCCTCCTCCCCCCTAAGGAGTTTGCTTGGCCAGTTAATTGACTGGGCTGGTAGGCGGCTGCCACACTGTCTTGCACCAGCTGATCCCTGTTATGCTGAGACAGAGAAAGAGGGGTAACGGGGTAATTTACATTTCTGGACCTCCCTAGAAAGCATCACAGCAACTCCCACGCAGAGCGGTGCACTTCTCTGCCATAGTTCTTTGTTCCTCTAACCAGTGATACCCTTAAAGATTATCTGGAACCTTAACACAGGATGTCGCACCAGCTACATTGCAGGAAGATCTTACATATGGGGCTACTCAAGACATGTGCAAGCAAAATAATACAAGCTGGGGGAGAAAGAAGTCTCCCTAGAATCAGACTGTAACAAACAGCATCAAAACACCCCAAACAAACAAAAAAATCAATCCCCACCACTACAGAAGATTCCTTACCACCCATGATGCTCTTGAAAGACTCATTGCTTGCCACCAATTCCCACATTAATATTGTATTCATGGAACCAAAGTTCTGTGAATCTCTGGAGAATCCTATCACATCTGATATGGAGCAGAGCTTATACCTAGATTCTCAAGGGACTGGAGCACAGCAGGATTTCAATGGGACCATTCAAAGAGTAAGATCTTACTTAAGGTGAGCAAAGGCATCCCAATCTGTCTTTTAGACATCAGTTGCCAATGCATAATTCACTAAAGCTTAAAAAAAAACTTTAAAAAGTAATTCTAGCCTTTCCAGTGAAATATCACTACATGTACACACAATCTCTCTCTGGCTACGTCTAAACTGCATCCCTCTGTCGACAGAGGGATGCAAATCAAGCACATCAAAATTGCTAATAAAGCAGGGATTTAAATATCCCACACCTCATTAGCATAGACAAGGCCGCTGCTTTTTTTTTAAACGGAGTTTTTTTGGAAAAAAACAGCAGTCTAGATGCAGATCTGTCGAAAATAAAGCCTTTTTCAACAGAGCCTGTATTCTTAAAAAAAAATGAGGTTTACAGGATCTGTCGGAAAAGGCTTTATTTTCAACAGATCCGTGTCTAGACTGCCGTTTTTTTCGAAAAACCTCCATTTCGAAAAAAAGCGACAGCCATGTTTATGCTAATAAGGCATGGGATATTTAAATCCCTGCTTCATTAGCAATTTGGATGTGCCTAATCTACATCTCTCTGTCGACAGAGAGGTGTAGTCTAGACATACCCTCTCTCTCAAACACACACACACATACAAACACACACACACTTCCTGCAGAACTAAAAAGTGATGCAAATCCTGGGAAGACTGCCAAGGTGCCTCTCAGCCCGACATTAGCAAATTTAGGTCTGTGTACCTGTGATGGATAATTAATGTGTAGCAACGTGCATTATTGTACAAATCTTGACTTTTCTTTCACCGTCTATGCTGAGGTTCTCATTGCTTTGTCCTCGGCAAATATCCACGTTAGGGAATCAGAAAGTTTGTAAAAGCAAAGCCTGCTCAGCTGCTTAGACATGTATGTGGTTTGTGTTTTATCTCTTATCTCCCATGATACATCCTAACTGAATGGCAAACAATACAAGCATTGGCTCTAAATTAGGAAACCGCACCGCCAACCCCATCTACTAAGAAAATAGGTGTTCTTTAGGAACTAAGAAATCTTTGTGTGATATCATTACCAGCTCCCATCTAGAGGAGACAGAGCCATATTGCTCTACCCCTGGAAACAGAAGTGTATTGATTTTGCTGGAGAGAGACACTGGGCAAGAATGGCACATATATGTCATCTGCCATTTGCTTAAGAAAGGCCAAGTTTTCTAAATGTCTAATATACTTACATTTTGCTCTGTGATAATGAATGCAACACAGATTTTTTTTTGCCGATGAAATCTTGTTGAGGTGACAGTCATAAGGCACTATATTTTACTGGTTCCCATGGTAACCCAAACTCTTTATTGAGCAACTCTGATGCAACTGAGTCAGATGCTTCACGCTTCTCCTAACTGGCCAGTGGAGCTATCATCCTAGCTGAGGCAGATACTTCTACCAAGCCACAAGTGGACAGCATGGCCCAGATCCTCAAAGGTTTAGGTGCAATGTTCCCTCTAATTCTGGCCAACCATATGCAGAATAAATTTTGTTTTCTGCACTGAGGCATGTGCAGATGTGCACCACCAGCAGAAACACCTGCTGTGTGGTCTGCTAATCAACTGGGTGGCATTTGATTCTCTCTTCGGTGGCTGCGTAAGGGCTCAGCTTGACAGGGAACAACACTGATTAGGCACCTCACTCTTATTAAAAATCAATAGCTATGTCTAGACTACATCCCTTTTTCGTAAAAGGGATGTAAATTAGACGTATTGCAATTGCTAATGAAGCGGGGATTTAAATCTCTCCCATTTCATTAGCATAAAAATGGCTGCCGTTTTTTTTTTGGCACGGAGCTTTGCCGGAGAAAAGCACCAGTCTAGACGCTGATCTTGCAGAAAATAAAGCCTTTTCTGAAAGATCCCTTATCCCTTATTTCAAGAGGGATAAGGGATCTTTCAGAAAAGGCTTTATTTTCTGCAAGATCAGCGTCTAGACTGGTGCTTTTCTCCGGCAAAGCTCCGTGCCAAAAAAAAAACGGCAGCCATTTTTATGCTAATGAAATGGGAGAGATTTAAATCCCCGCTTCATTAGCAATTGCGATACATCTAATTTACATCCCTTTTACGAAAAAGGGATGTAGTCTAGACATAGCCTGAATGTCTTATCCCGAGTGGGAGAAAATATTCATCAAATTGCTTTGCTACTTACTGCGTTTGGCCCCAGCCCGGAGCTCCTCCACCCTGTACACAGACAGCCTGTTCACCCCTCCACAGATGGAACCTTTTTCTCCTTTACATTCATTGTTGCACTCTTCCTGCTTTGCAATAGTTACTGGGAGCGTGTTCCCACAGTAACATTCTGCGCCATACTCTAAGCCAGCATAGGTGTAAGCCCTGCAGGGAGAAAGCAATGTCTTGAATACAGCTGACCCATTCCAAAAGTTACTCAGCCCAGTTGGCAAACTTAAAAACAAATCTTTTAGATGCAAACTATCCACAGTGCTGCTTTCCCCTGTCCCCACACAAACACACGCAAAATGTGTCTCTAGGGCTACGTCTAGACTACAGGCTTCTTGCGCAAGAAGCTTTTTTTGGAAGAGATCTTCTGAAAAAACTTCTTGCGGAAGACGGCACCCACACTGCAAAAGCGCATTGAAAAAACAATGCACTTTTTCAAAAGATAGCGTCCAGACTGACTGGAAGTTATCTCGCATGTAAGCAGTGATTGCTATGGACATAATGGCCACCAGAGCACCTGTGCTTTTTCCTCTTCCCTCTTCTTCCAAAAAAACTCCCTCTTCCCCGTTCACACACACTTTTTTGCGAAAGAGGTCTTTCGCAAAAAAGGCGTTCTTCCTCATAGAATGAGGATTACCAATACCACAAAAACTCCTCTGTTCTTTCGATTTACTTGGGAAAGAACGCAATTGCAGTGTGGATGTTCCTCAAGATTTGTCAGAAAAACATCCATTTCTCTGACAAAACTCTGTAGTGTATATATACACTAGGGGATAAGGCGGCAACCATTAAAAAAAAGTCAATATTAATGCGGCATGTCAGGGACAGGAAAGAAGAGCAGAATAACATTTCCAGTTGAAAGTAAACAGGGGACTTTGTGAGGAAGGATGGAATGATCCCAAGAGGCAGTTTGACCAATGGATTCTATTTTAACACCCCAGCTTTTCAAAGACGTTCTAAGGACGTATTAACATTCATATTTTCCCAGGATTTCATTTTCATGTCTTATGAAAGTAACCCCCCAATGGCACATTGACCTTAAGACTCTGCTGGGTATTAGTTCAGTAGTGTCATCCACGGAATCACAGCACCATGTCATGAAATATTTGTGTCTGTTGCAGGTTTCGCATCTAAACATTGATCAGGCCTGAGGCTGTTTAGAATGGCAGATGCGATGGCATCGCAGCTCAAGCGAGATGGGTCCCAGCCCAAGCAAAACATTTCAGCTCCTTTTTGTAAAGTATTTGACCATTTAGAGCGGCACAAAAAGTGTATCTCTGAAGCTCTCTGAACTAGCCTTTAAAAGAAGCCATCTTTGATACATCAAGTGACTTTCAAATGGTCAAAACAAACACCTGGTATTACTTGAATTTTAGATTAAGGACTCGTTGTCTCTTTCAAGGTGCAAAAGTTATCCTCTGATTCCTGGTTCCAATGTGTGCTTCAGCAAACAGTTGCTATATAAAATAAGAAAACCCAATAATAAGCATGAACGGGCAATCTGCTTTGATTAGAGAGGTGTCTGTTAAAGATTTGAACATATGGGGTGGGTATGTAAGCTTAACATTTGCATGGATGTAGTCTAATTGGCAGTGCAAAATGATGGACTACAAATAGAAAGCCTTTGTCTCTTAAGGTGAAGAAGTCTCTCTCGCTCACTCAAAGTCTCTTGCACACAACAAGGCCTTGTCTCCACTTATTGGGAAAATCGATGCTGAGAAGATCCATCTCCTGGGATTCAAATTAGCAAGTTTAGTAAGGACCCACTTAATCAACTGCTGATTGCATCCCTGTCATTCCAGTACTCCACTAGTCAAAAGAAGTAAGGGAAGTCGATGGAAGAAACTTTCTGGTTGATCTGCCACAGTGAGGACACTGCGGAAATTCGAACTACATTATGTTGACTCCAGCTATGCTATTCACATAACCGGAACTGCTGTCTTAGTTTGACTTTTTTCTCCTAGTGTCAACGTGGCTTTAGACAGACACACACACACACAGCTATGAGACCATTGGGTATGATCTGAAGCTATGCTGACTAACATCAGCTGAGGGTTTGACTGATTATTCTTAAATATATTTCAAACAAGGATCAATGCAGTGCTTGTAAAGGGACTTACCACGTACACCACAAAAAAACAAACGTAAGAATTAATGGCTAATTCACAATGGTTGTTCAAGCAGAGCTGCATTATTACTTTCAGTATTATTTACGGTATCTGCTGCTTCAGCTATACTGCAGGCTGAATGTAACCTAATACCTTTTCATACTTTTCATCGCAATCAAAGAAGGATGGCTTTGTGGTTGTGCCACTGGACTGGGTATTCAGGGCATCTGGGGTTCATTTCCTAATTCTACCACCCATTGATTCTAGGACTTTAGGCAAGTCATTTAATCTCCCTGTGCTTCAATTCTCCATCTGTAAAATGGGGATAATAACTTTTCCTTTCTCCCACCCTTTGTCTGCCTTATCTAGGCATAAGGATCTTGTGCAAAACGGTGTTTTTGCGCAAAACGGAAATGTCCACACTGCTTCTTTTTGCGCAAAAACCCTTTGCACAAAAGAAACAGCAGAAAATATGCTAATGATATCAGGACTCATGCTAATGAGTCCCTCATTAGAAAATTTTCTGCCACAAAAACTTGCAGTGTAGATGGAGCCTTAGAGAGAAAGTCAACTTAAGATAAGCAATTCTGGTTACGAGAATAGTGTAGCTGGAGTTGACATACTTTAAGTCAAACTTCTGCAGCGTTCCCATTGCGGGAGGTCAACAGGAGAAACTTTCCCATTGACTTTCCTTACTTCTTGAATACTGGGATCGACGGCAGTGCCATCAGCAATCTATTTAGCGGGTTCTTACGAGACCCGCTAAATCAAACCCCAGAGGATCTATCTCTTTGAGCCGCTCTGCAGTTAAGTATAGACAAGGACTTAGGAAGCAAGTGTGCCTGAGACACACTTCTGAGTCTCCATTCTTCTTTTGCTTTCTCTTGCCCCTAGGACCGGAGAGACTGGTGTAGAAGTACAAACCTGTACCTGACATAAATTCTTACCACCACCCCTCATGCCGGTTCAGCTAATCTTACACCTCTGCTCCGAAGTTGAGGTAAACCAGGGAGTCATTTTTGCACCCAGACACAATGTTCCTGTCCATCTTATTTCCCATGTGCAAACTGTAGTTCACATTACAGTTTAGACCTCAAACTGGTCCAGTGAACATTTCCTGTATGATCTGTTCATTTCCATTCATCCAAGCAGTAATCCTGGGGAAGGACACTAACCCAAAATGGCTTTGCCACTGTAGCTAGGCAGGGGTGAAAAAGTCCCCTTCTTGCAGTGTTGCCAAGCAACCTTCTATTTGGAGGCATGAGGTAAACACCGTTTTCAATACTGTTTGTCTCCTCTTTAATATATGCACATTCTTCCCCCTTCTGAATGCAATTCTAAATTCCCTTTGTTATCGGAGAACAGATAAAAGTGCAGTGAAAAATCTCTCTTTACCTCTCAGCACAAGCTTCTTGACAATGAGATACTGTCATTTTTCTTAAGTCATAAAACACCGCTCCCTTCAGTGTCTTCTCCCTGGAATCATCACTGAAGCATCCAACATAAGTGCCTAAAGTACATGAAATAGCACAATAGTTAGAGATAATCTTACATTCTAGAACATTCAAGTGCAAATTCAAGGTCCTTCGTTAGACATGGCACTTTGATATTTGCTCAGGTAATAACAATAGGTTTGGTAGACTGAGCTGATACATAGACTAGTCATCTTGACATTCAACTCCCCTAAGGAATATTTGGTATTGGGGGGCAAAGTTAAGATTGGGCAATAGGGAGGCCAAATTGGGGGAGGGGGACCCACAGAAAGACCAGGAGATACCTGTGTGTGCCAGTGAGAGTTATATCTAGTTGGAGTTATTTGGGTAGGTGGGGAATAGACAGGTGATGGAAATATAGAGGGAAAGGAAACGTACCCACATAATTTATTTTAAAATGTAAGATCCTGCCTTCTCCGCCTGATGTTGTTCCGAGACCCTTGCACACCCCTTTCCTCCCTTCTGTAGTTCCTTTTGTCCATCACCCATGGCAACAGAGCCCTCCATCAGCCATCCCTGTTGCACCATTCCATGTCATCCTGTCCTGAGTCCTCACCACACTGCCGCATTTATTTCCCCTGCCCCTGTCTATGTTCCCAGCATCCTATCTCCTCTTCCATGCTGCCAGGACCAAGGTAAGCCCTCAGCACAAGTTATGGCAGCATCTAACTTGCACCTGCCTGTAACAGCCTCCTCTAGCCAAGAGCCCTTCTCATAGACACAAAGTAAAACAGCACTGCAGTTCATGCCCTTCTTTCTCAAGACTGTGCTTGGGCCTTCAGTGAGGGCAGGGAACTGGACTCGATGATCTCTTAAGGCCCCTTCCAGTTCTAGTGTTCTATGATTCTATAGCTACCCCACTTATATGAAGCAATAGCATTGGTCATCCTGGCCCTATGCCATCCTGGGATTTCCCTCTAGCCAGCTCACCTAGCTCTAACAGTTTTGTGATAGCAAACCATCTTCAGGGCAGCTGCAGCAATTGGTCAAGATCTGGCCCATGATGATCCTACAAAAGCCTGATCTAAAGTAGACCAGGCAGGTCATCTTAAGGTACATAACTCCAGCTACGCAAAATGCATTTTGCATAGCTGGAGATAGTTAACCTTAAGCCAAGCTGTGGCAGCGTCCACACAGTGGGAAGCTGATGGGAGCAAATGCTCCCATTGGTTTCCCTTACTTCTTGAAGGAGGAGTATCGGACGCTGGCAGGAGCTGCCCTCAGCATTCGATTTACAGGTCTATACTAGACCTGCTAAATCGAATGCTAGAAGATTGATCTCCAGAGTGTTGATAGTCTGGTAAGCATAGACACGCCCAAAAAGAGTTAAGAAAAATGTTCAGAGTGAAGGGAAAGGATATTTTACAAATCCTGTGACTTAGAAAAAAACATAAAACTTCCCTGAAAAACTCCATCCTGGAATGAAATGAGAAGTTTAAGGAAG